CCTCCTTTTCTCTACCTTCTCCCTGCCTCGCCTAATGACATCCCTGACTTAATGATTTGGGCCAAAGGAAGCAAAGAAAAGCTTGGCTCAGCATTTCAGCAGGGCAGGCTGGGAATGAAGTAATGAAGGCAAGCGACAGCCTCAGCAGGAGGGAGACTTTGCCCGTGACTGCATCTTTTCCAGGAGCCAGAACATCAACCTGTTCAGCTCTCCTTTCTTCATTGCTGGGTTCTTATTTAATTCTTTCCTTCCTCTCCGCTCTGACCCAGTTATGGACCCCTAGCCAAGCTTATTAAATATATGGGAAATCTCCCTTTGCTCTGAGTGCATCCTTGTGGGAGGATTCTGGTTTCAGTGCCTGGGGGGTTTACCAATTGGAAGGAGAATTTATGCTCCCATTTCTAAACAGGCTCGCTGCCGTATCTTAGTCTTTATTAAGACAGTTCTTATGGTTGAATGAGCTAATGTTTATAGCATCTCGTGGGAGCTGGCTCCCTGTGTGCTCTGTTTATTAGGGGAGGAAACTGAGGCTTTGTGTAGTGTTTCATGGGAGACACTGAAAGGTGTCTGCCCTGTTCTGATGGGAAGTGAGGTGACGCAGCCACCAGGAATTCCGCCCCATCTAGTCACCCCATCTGGCAGTTAGATGTTCATTCCCAAGGCTGCCCCAGTCATGTTCGTTACAGTTCCTGCTTGGGAACATCTTGTGTCCTTCCCAGAACTGGGATTCAGGTGAGTTACCACCTTCCCCAGCTTGCAGCAGGCTCTTTTCCGGGCCAGCAGCAATGTGCAGTGGTTCTCGGCATTGGCTGCACGTGGAATCGCCTGGAAACTTTAACTGCTGCCTCATCCCACCCTGGGAGATTCTCATTTAACCAGGTTTGGGCAAAGCCTAAGCTTTTGAATTCTGAAAAGCTTCCCAAGTGATTCTGATGTGCGGCCAAGGTCAAGAATGAACCGCTACTCAGAGACAGTGTTTCTTAACTGGGAACAGTTTTGCTGCCCACCCCCACACCTCAGACATAGGCCAGTGTCTGATACATTTTTGACTGTCACACTGAGAGGGGGTGCTACTGGCATCTAGTGGATAGAGGCCAGCGATGCTGTTAAAGGTCTTACAATGCACAGGACAGCCCCCCGACCCCCAAGAATGATCCAGCCCCAAATATCACTAGTGCCAGAGTTGAGAAACCTTGCCCTCGAATTGTGGTTCTCACACTTGAATGTGCACAAGATCACCTGAAGGATTTATTAAAGCATAGATTGCTGGACTCCACTCCCAGAGTTTTTGATTCAGTAAGTCTGGGGTAGGGCCTGAGAATTTGCATTTCTAACAAATGGCTAGGTGCTGTTGAAGCTGGGCTACACTTTGAGAACCACCACTCTAGCTTGATTCAGAATCCTGTTTTTCTAGATCTATGATATATTATATCTATTATGGTTATTATAAAACTCTAAAATAATAGTGCCATATTAACTAAAACACAAGAGTATTTTTACATAACAAAAGTCCAGAGAAAGTCCATCCAAGCCTAGCGTGTCAGTTCTGGAGTTATTAGGGACCCAGGTTTCCATCTTTCTATTAAATCATCTTAGTGCAGGACTCTCATTTTCAGTCCCTCACAGTCCAACATGGCTGCTGGAGCACCAGCCATCACGTCCTCACTGAACGCAGAAGGTGATAGGTAACAATCAGACTCTTTCCAATACTTTTTGGACAGCCTTCTCAGAAGTTCCACAACCTTTGCTTACATTCTTTGGCCAGATCTTAGTCACATGGCCATAGCTAGATGGAAGGGAGACTGAGAAACATAGTCTTTTTTACTCTGGGCCACAGTGTGCCAACCAAAATTCAGAGTTACATTTCTAAGTAGAAAGGGTAGAACAAATATTGGAGTAAGTAACTAAGAGAATCCTCCTAAGAGTTACCATTTATTTGGCCTCTGCCATGTGCCATGTGCTTTTCATGCAGTATCTCGTTTAATCCTGAAAGCTTTGCAAGACAGATAATATTATCTTTATTTTGCAGATGATGAAACAGAGGCTTTCAGAGAATAAGCCACTGACCCAAATTACAGTCACAAATGATGTGATGTAAAAGCCACTTCCAAGCCTGGGCTGCTTCTTGCCTTAGTTGCTCTCAGAGACCTGACCTTTTCCTTCTGAGGCTATAGGGTGTCTGTTAGACCTGTTTAAGCCTAATTCTGGACCCTGCCCCTCCTGACCAGCTTCATCCCATTGCTACCTGTATCCCTGCTGTGAGACTCTCGTCTGCAGGTCTGTGGGGAAACAGACACGCTGTGCCCTGATTAACAAGATTAGTTTCCCATGGCTGCTGTAAAATTACCACAAACTTAGTGGCTTAAAGCAACACAAATTTATTCTTTTATAGTCCTGGGCCAGTTTCACTGGGCTAAAGGCAAGGTATCCGCAGGCTGGTTGCTTCTGGGCTCTCTAGGGAAGACTCCATTTCCTTGTCTTTTCCAGCTTCTGGAGGCTGCCTGCTCGCCTGGCCCCGCGGTTCCTTCCCTGCACTACTCCAGCCCTCGGGGTCGGATCTCCCTCCGCCCCGCTCCCATAAAGGCTCTTGTGATCACATCTGGGGCCCACTCGGGTAGTCCAGGATGACCTGTGGAGCTCCAGAGCCTTAACTTAGACCCGGACAGCCCCTGTTGCCATGGAAGGTAGCACTCAAGGCGGCAGCGATGAGGGCACGGTCACCTTTGGGGGCTGGTACTCAGCCGACCGCAGCAGCCCCCTGCTGCTGCTCTTCCTTCCCTTGGCCCAGCTCCTCTTCCCCGAACTGTTCCAAACATAGAACGCGCATACATTTCCCTTCTGTCCTGGAGTTTTCAAAGAGGCCCGAGTCAGGGTCTGAAGGGCAAAGCAGTGCTTTGGGAGACTTCTCTAATCAGCTCCCAGTGTCCATAGCAACGGGTACAAAAACATTCAACGAGTGGAAAGGGATTGGGGGCAGGGGATCCTGCCCTCGAGGTGGCAGAGTGGCTTACCCTGGCCAGTGGTGCCCAATGGAGACACATAAACTGCATGTATGCCCCTCAGGAAGCTTCATAAACTCTCTGGGCTGTGTGTTTCTAGGTAATCTTTCAAACCTCTAGGTGCCTGTTACTCTGTGTGCCCCCATTGCCTTTCTCTAGGCTAATAGAAGCATGTCTTTGGCCAAATATAAATGCTACACCTAGAGGAATCTGGATGGGGGTGGGGGGAGGTTAGGCTCTGCTTAGGCTGGTTGTGCTCTAACCTCATTTCCCTTCACTCCTTGTCTCCACCCCCTCCTAACCTCCCTTGGCTGGATTGGCCATATGCTGGGATGAGTCTGGGGTGTTGTATGTTTTGCTTTTTATTTTATTTTGCAAGTACCTCCCAACATTCCCCTCTGTGTTTAATGTCCTACTGCCAAGTGCATGCGGTTGCCGGGCAACAAGGAGGAAGTCCCTGTGTGATTCACCTGGCTGCTACCAATTAATTTGCTAGCTGCGTGCGTCTCCCGGGGAAAGAAAGGCTTCTCCTGGCCCTGTCTGAGCCAGCAGAGAGGGCTGCTGCCCAGGAGGGGAAAGGAAACCAGAGGGAAGTTAGCAGAACTTAGGGGGTGTTTGGGGTGGTTTGGGGTCCAAATGAAAGAGAGTGTCTGGAAGACCCTGGCAACACCTGGGTGTAGACTTATGATATCCCTCTGGGCCACCAATCAGAGAGCCGCCTGGAGCGCCAGAGCACCTCTGTGTCGGCAGTTTGGTGGGCTTTCCTGGAGTAGGCGACTCTAGTATGCAGACTCTGTCCTTTCGAAGTTCTCCTGCACAGAAATGTCTTTAACCGTTAATCTCTGTTCAGTCTCCCCGGGCCCTCACTGGGACACTCTCCCATCTCTGACAGAACTTTTCTTGCTGGATTTCATGGCAGCTGCACACATCCCTGCCAGGGGTTAGCCAAAGCCCACGGGAAGGAGATCAACCTGGCACCAGGCTGAGCTGTGACCCGCACAGGGCTAGAGGGACAGGACAGGGCCGGTTGGTCCAGGCCGCCTCCAGAATCCTTAGTGTATTTCCCTGAGATATTGCTGTCCTTTTGGCCTCCTGCCTGATCAGTGTTACCTCTCGCTAGGGCCTAGGAGGTGGGGTTTTCCTGTCTGGTTTGTGTCTGTATCCACAGCATCGAATCCTCTGGGGGCCTGGGAAATGCATGCGTTTGCATCCCTGGTAGGTGGACGGTCTTTGCCGGAGTCAGAGACCCTGTGAGCCATCTCTGTCTGTGAACAGGCCTCTTGCCTGCCTTGCTGGGCCTCATCAGTTTTAAAATGAGGAGGTCCCCCGAGGGCATTTTGTGGGGCTAAATATATTTGTCACTAGAAATTCAGAGGTGGTGGGAAGCCAGGAAAGTATGATGAATCCAAATCCATCTCCACGAGTTTGCCGTTAGCATTAGGGATGCAGAAATCTTCTCATTTCCTCCGAGGGACCCCTATCTTCTTTGGATAATTTCCTAATTAATTATTAGGGGATTTGTGAAAGCAGAGAGAAGTCACCTGGAGCGAACATTTGGATTAAGGACCTGATACTGAGAACATTGTCACCCTCTGTGCCTCAGTTTTCCCATTGGTAAAGTGGGTGTTCCAATACCTCGGTGCTCTCTGCCCCCATCTCAGACACGTAACAGTGACATGCTGGAAACAGAATTTTCCACTTCTTCTGGGCTGGCTGCATTTAGTGGTATTTTTTAAAAATCAGCTATGGGTGTAGTGGTAAGATGTGTGTGAAGGGCCCCGGGTGATGATTCAGTGTACAGGGTGTTGCTTGTGATGTATAAATAGTACCCCCTCCCTTTTTTTTCCCTTAACGAAAATTCTGGTTTTAGCAGCCGTCTGCTCTTTTCGGTAGCTAGAATATTATGGCCTAAAGTCAGGAAAGTGATGCTCATTGTTGAAAGACGTCGGTTGGAAGGGCAGACTCCAGAATCTCACTCCTGTGCTGTTTTTCGGTCTGCAGGCCTAGGAAGGAGGATTGGCAAAGGGTTGCCCTTCCTGCCCACACCTCCCACCAGGAAGCTTCGTGGAGCCACTGTGTGCCACCAGGTCTCCCCTGAAGGACATGACTCAGATGTGACCATCTCTTAAGAGGCAAGAGCTCTGAATTGAGTCGAGAATTCTTACTTTGGAGAATAAAGAAGGTTCTGGATTTGAGAAGACATTTAAGGAGAAAGCCAAGACCCTCGCACTGAGGAATAGCCTATGTGATGCCCTGCGTGACCTGGGAGATGCATCGCTGGGGTGACGCCATTATCCCAGACCTTGTTTTTCCTTCCTGTGGAAAACGTTTTCTCTGCCGCCAGCTCCTAAGACTGCCCTCCTTCATCCCCAGGACACCCCCCCACCCCGGGCATTTGCTACACCCTTTCTGGCCCCCCACCTCCACGTCTGCTGTACAGCAATTCTTGTTTGCTCCGTTATCTTCTAGCGGATACAGAGTGAATAGTTAACTACACTGAGGTCAAACAGGATCTTGATTTTTGTTCCTGCTTCTTCCAAAGTGCGAGTGTTGCTCTGTGCACAGGCTTGGAATAGTATTCCTTCTCATCTGTTTGGGATCTGGCCGCACAGGTTCTGCAGGGACAGCGATCAGTGCAGAAATGTTCTTTAGGCTCCTGGGGACATTGGCCAGGACTTCGGCCGGGGAGCTGGGTCGAGAAGGCGGGTGCTCTCCACTTTCAGCTGCCTTGGCTGGGATCACATGTGGGTATACAGCTGGAGGAACAGAAAATGAACCCTGCTGCTCATTCCAGCTGTCTTGACACAGAGGCAGAGTCCGCTGTGGAGAGACCCTCTTCTCTCAGGTGGCAGCTGGGGGCCACACCAGAACTTGGGACTTCATTACAGACCATCCAGCTACAAGCCTGGTAGAAGTTATTGCGGATCCCCTTCCTCCAGCATGTGCTGATGCCACATATGCCCGGCAATGAGTTGGGCCCCACGAAACATGAGTCCTGTCTAGTTTCATTCATTCATTCTGTACCCACCACACGCGTGGATGAAAATACTTCCTAGATATCCATCATACTCCGCCCTTGTCCAAAATGCAGAGCCAAACATGCTTGTACTTCCAGTTTCCAAAGCAAATGGATAGCTTGCTTTTGTAAGAAAGAATTAAAGCTAGATATATGTATTTTCCTTGTGTTGTAGGTGACGTGTTTGTGTGACCATTCGGTGACTTCTGCGTCTTCTCAGTGGAGCAATGGGGTCCTTCTTGCATGTCAGGTTCACCACAAAGCGAGTGAGGGGAACCTCTGGAGGAGGTTTTGTGCTATTGAAATGTAAGGTTTCTTTGTGGGATTTCACTTTCCTTCCTTGGCAGGCCGACAGGCCTGTTGTATCAGATTACTTTGGGTTTCAAGGTACAGAGACGACCCGCTTGTCATACCTCCCTAAATGCTGTTTTTCGCAAGTTTCTGTGGACGTAGATAGGACGCAGTCTGCCCAGCCGCTGCCTACCTAGACCTTTCCAAGAAGTCCAGGCCACCCAGGAGTCCCCATTGCTATTGAGGATGCCCTGGGATGGCAGAACCGTCCCACCATGGCCGTCTTAATCTATTGCTCAGTAGCGGGATCCCCTGCTCCTGATCCTAGACTTCTTCTGTGGTGATGAGCTGAGGGTGCCCAGGACTGCGGGCTTTCCCGGGAAGCAGGACTTCCAGTGCTAAACCGGAACTGCTGGTCACCCTGCTGGGGGAATCAGTGATCCTGGCTGCGCTTCTCATTTACCTTCTGTAACCAGCTGGTACTCTTAATTGGTTTGGCCAATCGCCATTTAGGACCCTTGCGTCTGGTCACATCATTGACCACTGGGCAGCTTATAGATGGATGCCATTGGATCAGCCACCAATCTTCATCAAATCAGTTGTTTCCAGAATAATAGGGTAGCATGATATTGCATGACATCCTGGGTGTGAAGAACCAGCTGAGACTACTTCCTTCAGAAGAGCGTTATGGACTCTGTGTGTGTGTGTGTGTGTGTGTGTGTGCGCGCGCGCGTGCGAGAGAGAGAGAGAGAGAGAGAGAGAGAGAGAGAGAGACAGAGAGAGACAGAGAGAGAGAAACATGCATGTACTATGTGGAATAATGAGCCAAGAAGAAAATTCTTCCTCTTAACTAGACAGACTCAGAGCTAAAATCTTTGGGATGGTATTGTCTGGAGAGCAAAGGAGTTGGCTAGAGGACTTCCTGAAATTCCTTTGAACTCTAGGATCCTTTTAAATATCAAGGGCATGTAAATTGGGCCTAAGTGTGTACTTTCTTTCTGAAGTCTCCTAGATAACCTTTGAGTTCAACTCCGATAGTGCGGAATGGGACCTCCCAGCTCATTCTTACCTCTGCAGACACTGACGTGGTTGGGGAGGAAGAGGCAGACGTGGTGCTGGTAGTGGGGGTGGAAGAGAGGAAGGTCGTGCCAGCCCAGTTTTTGGTGTTCATGACAAATAAGAACGACCTGAAGGCAAATTACAGGTTCTTTTCAGGATTGTCAAAGCCAGGCTTTCGGGATTCATGCCATCCTGAAGTGTTGCTGCTCGCCAGGGCGCCGGGTCTTCTTCTTCTGTGCTGGAAGGCAGCTGTGCGTGTCCGTGGTGCTGGGACACAGGCTTGCAGCTCATCCCACTTGTCGTGTGCAGTGTGGCCACAGGGAGATCATCGCCTGTCAGGATACAGATGAACATGCAAACATCTAGAAGCTATTTTCTTACTCAAGTGTAAAGGTTGAGGCACCCGCTTGCCTGCCCTGGTGCTCTGCGGTCTTTCCTCTGGTCTGACTCTCACTGCCACTGGAGAAATGCCAGCCAGCTCCTGCGGTGCCATTTTTCTTTTTAAAAAGATGACCTCATTTTAGATATTTCCTTCATTTGTATCCCACATACAGCCATTGGCTCCAGAAGTCCCATTGTTGTTCTGACAATAATCTTCTCTTTCTCTCTTTTCTTCTCATCCACAAAGAATCCCAAAGTCGCAGAGGTGGAAGCGGTCTAAAGCATCGCTCTTATCTAGATCGACCTCTCAGGATCTCCTCTTCAACACTGGACAAGGGGCCATACTGCCCTGAAAAAGGCCGCCTTTTTGCCACAGAGAGGACAGTGAGGGGCCAACATATTCAACCTGGTGGGGAAGCTGTAGAATTTTAAAGAGCAATTCATGTGCTTCCAAGTAACAAAGCATGTCAATTAATGAATGAGATTTTGAGCTAAATGCATTTTACCCCCTTCCCCACATGTACCAGTCTCTTACTTACAGATCCAGGCAGTAGGTCTTACACTGATAAAAAAAGCAGAGTGAGCAGACAAGCAGACCTGAGCTTTTGTCTCAAAGTCCCTCCTCTTGGTTCCTTCCATGTAAAAGGAAGGAGTCAGGTTACATGTTCCCTGAAGCCTTCTAGCTCTGACATCCACAATGCTGTCATATTTGATAGAGTTCATGACTTACAGGTTTGCTATTTTTTTGTTCCCTATGAGAATAGTGTATTAGACATTGCTCAAGATACACAGTAACTATTTCATCTACATATTGGACATACTGATCTTGCTTTAATTCGTTTGGAGCATAACTTAGCCTCAAAGTAGTGCCGATCACCTTTCCCCAGGGTGGTGGTCAACCTTCCCTCTGAGATTTTTCCAAGGGATTGAAACTTGACCCACAGAAGACTTTTACCCTCTTCCAATGGTCCTGGAAACCTGTGTGTTGAGGGAAAGATAGAAGGTTCTAATGGTGAAGTCCCTCTGCTCAGGAGAATGTGGTTTAAAGGGCATGAAGGTGACCTTGGGAATGGTCACTGACCTTGGACAAGACCCTCATGCCAGACTGCTGTTGGAAAGAAATCAGACAGAAAGAGCCTGTCTCTCTGCCTAGGTCGGAAAGATCCTTGAACTGGGTGGGGGTGGGTGGCAGGGAGCCTGGAAACCTGACTTGTCCTTCCTTAGCTTCAGCTTGCTCCAAGGTCATGTGTAAGTCCCTCAAGCCTCTTTCCTGGATCTCAGTTTTCTCATCTATAAAATGGGAGGGGAAGGAGAGATGGTTGGTCTTAAGGCAGGAGCCCTAAGGTCCCTCCCATGGATCAAGTTCTGAGCCCTGCCTGACCCAGGTGACGTCTGCCTGTTTTCCAACAAGGAGTTCTTTCTCCCTTCACCTTTGGCTGCACAAGCCAAAAACAGGGCTGTCCCGGGAAGTCCATTACCAAAGAATACTTCAAAGCTGTTTGCACTCCTTGTCAGTTGCACTGAACATGAGTTTGTTGAAGGAGAACGCAAATAGACATACAGACCGATGACAGGAGCGGGGAGGGGACTCCTATTTGCCGTGGGTGGCTGGGAGGGGAAAAAACAAACCCGCCTGCAATTTTGACCAGTAAATAAAAACTGAGAGCTCTACATGGCAAAAACTGTAGGGGATTTATTAGTTTGCTTAGTGAAAGGCAAATATTAGGGCTTAAGTTGACCCGTCCCATGGCCTGCCTTTTGGCTTTTGTATGCCGTCAGAAGCCGATCACCATGTGCTCCAGGTTATCAAGTTCTGTCGAAGGTTTTTGGTTATTTTTTTTTTAAATTGCTTTCCATATCCTTCTTTTTTTCTTCCTCCTTTGCTTATCCCTCTCCACCTCTCCTCCCCTCCCCCCCCCAACACACACCTTTTACGGTAATTCAGATCTGGGTTTTGGAGAGGAAGAGAGCAGGATGTGAAAGACATATTGTTCCATTCCAAAGACTTCCTATATTCAGGGCTCTGGCTGGCCTGGGGGCTGGCCATGCCCGCGGTTGTGTGGTCCCGGTGGGTCCTGGTGGGTACCCTCCATCCTCTGCTTTGAACTTTTTAAAAAAAAATTTATTTATTTTCCTAATTACAGTTGACATACAGTATTATATTAGTTTCAGGTGTACAACATAGTAATTAGACATTTATATACATTATGCAGTGATCACCCCAATAAGTGCAGTACCCACCTGACACCATACATAATTAGTACAATGTTATTGACTATTTTCCCTGTGCTGTACTTTAAGTCCCTATGGCTGTTTTTATAACTGGCAGTTTGTACTTCTTAATCCCCTCACCTTTTACACCCATTCTCCAAACACCCCTCCCATCTGGCAACCATCAAAATGTTCTCTGTATCTATGAGTCTGTTATTCCTTTGCTTAAACATCCTA